CCACTTGTAAGGGAGGAAATTTGATTTACGGGATACGCCATATCATCAGGAGATAAAGGGAATACATTATTAGGAAACGTTGGTCCCCATTTACCTGCACCCTGCTTTGTGATAATGATTTAGCATGTAAACAAACGTAATTAGATTCTTAATGTGATAATTTAAATAGCTGTGGATAACAACTGAATTAAGAGGGATCGCAGATCACACCCTGCGGCGGAGCAGATAGGAGTCACGCTGAATAAAAAATACAATACACCCAGGGTGGGTGGCGAGGGAGGCAGCCGGGGAGATACAACATTTCCAGATATCCTGACCCTTGTCTCGACCCTTCATAACTGCGGCGTAACTGATTACATTCCATTGTTATTGAAAGTAATAAACAATGTGTGCCATTACTGGATTAACGATACATACGCTTCCTTTCCTAGTAAGAAGGAATTGATGAAACACAAGTGTCATCCAAAGAGGCGTGTTTGACTTGTCAATGGAAAATAGTGCAAATAGAATGAGATCAGACAACAGTGTCAATTATAAATTAAATATTACATATTTGCCACCTAACAATGGCATACGAATGTCTAGATCACGTGGGAACATCTCACCTGCGGCGCCGTCGACGGCAATATCCTTCACTAATTACCAACCTTATCTCCATCAGATAAAGAGGATTACAAAAAAAACCACCGTCCTTTCCTTTTCGTTTTACATTTACATAATAATGCGTGGGGCATAACGACCGCCGGCGAGGCAACAGGCGCATTATTATAATGACGACCGAGCGCCAAGCCAACTTGTCTCTATACGTTTTTATGAGAGGCCTCCTGTAACGGTGTCCATGTCCAGAATACAGACACCGTTTTTAGAGTAAAAAAACATCGATACGAAAATCACGAGATGTTTTTATCGGAAACGTGTCGTCTTTCGATCCTCTTTTAATTTGATTGTAAAAGGGAATTTAGTTTCTCATGTTTATGAATGAATTTGCATCGGTGGCTCCTTTTAACGCAAATAGAGTTCGCTGTGCGAAGTACGAGCGTGGTCTAACGGAATGCGTTCACGAGTGTGCACGGTACACGCGAGACAATGCAGACTCAGCTTTAATTGTGTGGGGTTCCCATATGACGTCTCCCCATTCACTAGTTTAATATTCCAAGCGCCGTGTACGCGATTAAGTATGCTCTCCAAATATAGGGACCCTTCATATAGTTTTTTATATTACGGTGGGGTTGCTCGGTATCTACAGTGTAAACCTGGTATATAAGCCCCTAGTTATAATTGAGGACATGGGTCAAACAATGACAACTGTGGAGTATCTTTCATTTAGATTTTTTAGATAAATTTAATCTAGTCTTTTTAGACACAAACGTAATTATAATTAATACATATTTATTACGAAGATTTGGTGAAGGCAGAAACATTCCAAGTATGAAATGATCAATCAAACAATCCAAACACTTGATCATAGAGACTAGTTACAACAATATAAAACAAAATAGGGATGTTTCCTGGGTCAAAAAGCAAGAGTTTTAATTAGTCCGTCAGTTAACTTAGCATAAAATACTCTACACGTATTTTTCACTTTTTCAAACTAATGAAAATTTAAAGAGATAAAGCGCGCCAAAGTTCATAAGAAGAGGGCCGTGTCGTCATTGAGTGCATAAAAAGCGCCGCACTTTGTGACGTTGCGCGGAACTTCAACGCACCATAATTATGTAATTATTTGTTAGATTGACAAATAAAAATATGTGTCCAATATTTTTTGATATTAAACATGACGGACTTAAAAATTTTTTTTAGGAAAATCACGAATTCATGATACCTAATAGCCAACAAACCGCAATATTATCTGATACAGAACACCTAACTCGGCAAGAAACTTCTTCGAAACTAATTCAATCTCTACCCTTTAATTTGAAGGGAACTTCAAAACATTTCTACATAATATTATAGCAAGACGACTCAATGCCTGTCCTTGTTCCTTTCGCACTTTTTTATTTCATTCCGATAGGGATGGATAAAATTACGTCGGAGCATTGTCAAGCGATTATTTATAGAAATTTCGGTCTCTTTGTGTCGCTCGCTTCCGAGAGCACGCTGGTTTTGGGCAAGACCGTTCGAATTATCATCCTGACCTCGTAATAACGGTGGGTTCGTTTTTTATAATTTTTTGGGGATTAAGCGAACCGTTAGATTTGATACGATCTAATAAATAAATGATTACTTCAAAATATTTAGTATTAAAAAAATGCCTTTAATGAGGCATAAAATAATATTATTATTATTCCAAAAAGTATCCTCAGTATCCTGCTCGATAATTCTCTAGTATAACAACTGGTAAAAACACTTGCATGTTTTGTTCATTATTGTCCTTAAAATTTTTATAGGCAAAAATCATGTTTTACCAATCCGGTAATATTCGACCAAAGCAATACGTCAAAACAGCATCAAATTCCGAATTTTAATATTTTATATAAAAATTCTGAAACAGCGCCATCTAAACAAAATGTCCCGTACTACTTCGCAAGTGGTTGTGCTAGCAAACCAAAGGACGACTGCAATGAAAAAATAATAAAACTGGTAACCAATTTATGAAACCGCTACAAAAACGTTAATAAAATCAATAGACCTAACAATGAACACGATTCATAAAACTAATCCAAGATTAATTAGTTTTTTTAAAGACACACACGCCTGTGTGATATTTTTGCCCGTCTAGAACGTTGCTCGTCGCTGATTGGCCGAACGAGTTGGCGGGGAGCATGCGCACTGGCTGCCTCTTCGGCCGGAGCCGAATACTGGCGCGTTCTCTGCAAGATACCAGGGCCGCAGAGCTCTGTAGGAGTTACTACTACGGCGATCACCAGCAACTCAATACGCGCAGTAAGCGCATAAGAATAAGACTCAAAGTAGTTTGATTCTTAAAGTATCGTGTGTGTTAGGCCATGCCGCCAGATAACGAGGTAAGCCGGCTGCAAGGAAAAATGGCTTCTATTTCCTTACACACTTTGATCAAATCGGAATGGTTCGTGTATTATGTCATTAAGTAGTTTCCTAAATTTGACACGGCGCTAGTAAGAAGACATTGGGAACTTTCGTCTACGACGAGTTGCCGTATTTCATATTAAATTAATTAATCGAGATAGATAATAAATTGAGCCTAAAAGGGTTGAGTAGTTTTTTGACAAGTTGAGAGATTGTATATTTTTTTAATACATATTATCTTTTAATATAAAATAATAATTACAAAGTTCACAAAATGTTTAAGTAATATTTTCTGTCGAAAAAGGCACTGAAATGAGTGAGGGGATGAAGGAATCCACATGTGAGAAATGAACTATTTTGGGAGTGCTTTGAGAATAGTATTATAATTATGTAAACAAAGCTATTCAAATTATAAATTGAAATTTGGTATTAAAAAAGAAACTGAGTGAGTAGGTAGATATAGGACTTAACACCTCTTCTGTACAAAATAAAAAAAGGTTTAGAACAGGTTTTAAAATTAAGTGGATAAGTTGGTGTGAGTTTAGTTATGTCATAACTAATCTTGTTACAACCGAGATTAAAATATTATTCCTCTGACATTCCAACAAAAACCCTACCTTAAGGAAAACAATATTGAGTTTATTAATATTGATGACACTGATAAAAGTTGAATTAATATTTTCAGCATAATTATTATTCTACATTACATCCAGTTTTAACGAACGTTGTAGTTAAATATATTAAATCAGTTACTTTTAAAGACATGCAATACAAAATTAGTACCATCACATCAAGATCTGACACAACCAGCTCTTAAAACAGAAGCCTTACAGTCACATGAGACAGAAGAAGAAGAAAAATACAACCCTAATAATGATTACAAGTTTATGTCAGAGGATAGATTGACATACAACTCGATTGTAACAATAAAAATGCTTTATTGATTGATCGTGGTGAAGACTAATGACACGCCCTAACAATAAAAGTAGACATCAAAATGTCTGAAGAAAAATAAATGCAAGCAAAGATAATGATTAACTATATTTTTATCACCCGTATTCTGAATTCTTTAAACGTTATGTAATTTAAAGCATCACACCTACAAACCTACAAATCCATTATTTAATACTAATTTGAATAAGCATACTTATTTTTAGTGAAAATTGCATAAATCTGTTACTATCCTCATTATTTAAAAGAGTTCTAACAACTTACCTTACGTTGTCTTGAAGATAGCTAAAGTATAAAGTGAGACAAATAAAACATGCTTCAAATATCATCCACAACTTATTAACAATGTCTAAAACAGAAGATTAGATTAGATGTTACCTCAAATACAGCAAGAAAATGTAGTATAAAAATAATATTATCATGCAGTTCGAAGGAGGTATTTGTAAATTTCCTTGTAATTAAAAAGATAAGGTTAGTTTTCACACAAACAAACAAGCCATGCGATTATAAAAAGGCAAAGAAAACATGCAAGAATGTTAGCAGATTCAGAAACTGGTTAGCAAAAAAAAAAATGTGTTATAGTAAAAATGTTACCCATCCAAGTCACAACAGTCTTGATCATGCGAACTTGTTTACAGCCTGTGACCTAATGTAATCCCGAAGAAGGGCACCATTCATACAAGTATTCAGTTTCTCAGAGTCCCTCCGTTTCAAAACATAAGAACGTGTAAGGGGAGCCCGGAATAATAATGAAGACATGCGTGAAAAGGAACCAAAACCCTTGCGACGAAACAGCTGCCACCAGGATCACAATACACGGATTAATACACGAAAATCTAAATTACAATCACCATGCAATGCACATTCTTATTTATATAAAGCGTTATTCAAGCATGTTTTGAAATTCGGTGCAAGCAAAAACAAGCAAGCGATCGTTTGTTGCGACATACGCAGTTTACAATACGGTGCGCCGAAAGTTGCTGCTGATATGTGATCTCGAACGCCGGTTTCGCAAGGTTAGGATCTGTTGCGGTGTTAGTTAGCACGAAAGAAATAAAGCTTACCTTTCTAATTCTCTTCTTCATGATGCGTTCAGCGGCGTACACACTGTCGCCGAGCTCCATCTTGTGCATCCCCAGTTTGGAAGGTGTTTTGAAAAATCCAAATCCAAAAAAACACTGCAATCCAGTTACTGTGATCCAATTTTAGCACTGCATCCAAATTTTTGCGCACTGCAATCCGGTACACATTATCCGTCACACACTTTCAGAGCACTGTCAATGTTCAAAGTTGCCGCGCGAACGATCCTTTTCCGCGGCGCGCAGCAACACGTCCTGCCTTCTCAGACTCGCAGCCAAACTGAAGTAGGGGGAGGAAGTCCCTGCCCCGCGCGTCCCGCACGATTCACTCCGCCGAGCACCGACAGAGAGCGCTACTAGTTCGTACACACTCGTTCGATATCTGTAAACAAGTTTTATTTTGATCACTCAATACAGTATTTTCAGTTTCAAATTACGTCCTAAGTTACGTCACGTGTTTATAGTGAGATTTGCATAGTTAAACATACTTATTAATGGAGTCTCCCGTATTATCACTATGTAAAATTATGTACATAAAGTACATAATGTACTTAAATTAAATACCTAAACACGTATAAATCCAATTATAAAACTAGGCACAACATCGCATAGCAACAGTTAAAATACTAGTGGTATCAATACAAGAAAAGTAATGTTGGAACTCAGTATTGGTATAGTAGGTATATTGCGTTGGTTCTGTAGTGAATGCGTCTCACTCGGGTCGACGCGGCGCTATTCCCCGCAGCGCGGTGGAGGCACACGCGCGACGTTGCCGCTCTGCGCCAGCTGCGAGAGAAAGACTGAGCGCTACCCTATTATTTACGCGCGACGTTGCCGCGCCGACCGGCCTACGTTGATTACGAGGACACCGCTTTTACGTTCGATCATCCGGCGCTATAATGCCGCGTTTATAGCTCCATTATCTATGCCGGTGTTTATTGTAATGAATTTCCACTAATTGTATTAAGTTTCTTACTAATTATAGATGCTGTTGAAGTAATTACCTGATGAAATCAGCTGATCGGTGAAGTGAACTAGATAATCCAATAACAATCACTCGTAAACATGGAAAGTTGGTTCCGATCACTGTATTTGATTAATTGTATGATTTCACTGAGACCGGCAGCGAAAGCGACCAGCCAACATAGCGCGTGTGAAGTAACTAAGGCATTTTCGGTCGTATCGAATCGTGTCGGCATTCGTGAAAGGTCGGTATTTTGGGCCCGGAGGGGCGCGGGAGACGGGGCGCGAGTGCGCGCGCGATTGGCCGCGGCGGGCAGGCGGCGGGCGCTGCGCGCGGGCAGCCAATGAGCGCGCGTGACGCGGCGCCCCGCCCGTTGACGAGTGTCGGCTGCGTGCTCGCTCTCGCTCTAGCAGGCCGACTCGGTCGATCTGAGCGTTGTTTTTTACGCAGCGCGGCTCACATAGAAAAATAAACGGACATTTTGGCTCACGTGAACAAAACGAGAAGGGTCGCCGGATCCGGGCGCGGGCGCGGCGGCTGGCGCATTTATTTATTTTGTGCGCTTTGTCGAGGGAGAGATATGGCGCGATAAATAGAGATACAGCTTGCGACGAGTCTCATGCGTCCAAGTCTGGCGAGGTTTTTATTATCAGACTGTCATGTATGATGTATGAGCGGATTTTATAATGTATTCATGGACTTCGTCGAGTGGACAAAGTGGCTGGATGTTAAACGACTTATTTTGATGTCGAGATTTAGGTTTCTAACGGTTAGACGCTAGTATATTGATTCAATCATACTGAATTGTGACGTGGTTCATGGGTTTTTACGTATGATGCTTAATTATTCACGTAAATTTATGCATTTTGAAGACTAGGCACTTTAATTAAATGTTTGTATTGTAAAGTTTCGTACACCTATAATTTATCAGTCTCTGCTAATGCATTCTAGCAAACGTACCTACGTAAATTGGGAATGATATCGTCACATGAAACTCGTGTAGATAGTCCTTTGTTTTCGTTAAGCCTTTGTATAAACAATGAGTTAACCACAAGACCACAACACCATATTTATCAACCTAATAGGTCTTATTTCCAAAAATTTTGAGTTTCAAAATGTCATCATAGCAAGAAAACATTGACACTGTCTCATTCGAATTAGGAGAGCGGCGTGAAAACATGAACCCAATGAATCACCGACCAACGAAATAAAACCCAGTGATTCTTTATCTGCAGACTTCCGTGATGTCTGGAAAATATCCTGATATGTTCGGAATTTACTTAGTTCCAAACAGATGGGATTTACCCGCAAACATTTGATCATTGATGGAAATTACAACGGATATTTTGATAGCCGTACCACATTGCTAGTTCATCAAAGGCTGTATGGCCAAGGTTTATCTACCTGAAAATCTGCCTACAGCCGAGTTGTTAGTTTTGGTTCAGAGTTATCGCGGCAACATCGGTTTAGTTAAAAACGCGAGAAAATCGCGGACATACGGATCGAACTCGGTTAAAAACTAGTAGCGCCGAAGTTAAAAAATCAAGTGATGTTGAGTGCGATCCACATTGTCCACTCTAGCTTTTTCGTGCGTCCGACGTGTTGCCAGCGCCCGCGTAGTATCGACGTCTTGATTGCGCGCGTGTATCTTCGACATGGCGCTGCCAAGATGGGCTGCAGACTGCGATCGCAGTGAAAAAGAAAAAGTCAAAGAAACCGCGGTGGCTTTCAGTTTGCGGTCTACAGTCCACCTTAGACTTGTACCTTCAGTTTCGCCGCGACGCCAATGCAGAGCAGCTGCCGAAGGCTGCATCTACGGCCCGCCATAATACACGGATCGCTCTTGCAGTCATAGTCAACAATTTGAAAGCTGCAGTCCGCGAGGAATGGCGCCGTATTACGAGGAACATCACTCTGAATAGTGATTCAAAATGATGACCACGACCACTCTGACAAGAGTGTACCGACTGAGAAGAAGAAGAATTGATACTGCTCAAAAAGTCACAAGCGCGCGAGACGTGGAATGATTAGCGTGGGAGGAGGGAACTGCGTGAGAGCAGCCGATAGCTCGAGCAGTCAGTGTATCTCTGACGACTTAGACCCACAATGAAATTTTCGTTCTGCTATCCGCCCGAAGCAGTCAGCAGCCCGAAGTTTTTGGAATGATGAAAGGAAACAACAACTGCAGCTCGAGTGGTTCCGTGACGAATACTGTACTTTGTTATGCAGTCGCAGGCGCAGCTTGAAGCTGCCGATACTATGTAGTTGCTTCAAGCTGTTTGTGTATGGCGGCCCTACGCAGTGCTGGCGTCGCGTCCGCGCGGCGTAAACGCAACTCTTTTTTGGAAAAGTAATGGGAGTTGCGTTATTTGTCCAAAAAAATGTTGCGTTGGCGCCGCGCCCCTCCGGCGCTGCCATGACGAGGACTCTTGATAGATGCTAGATGTGGGTTAGGGAGGCCCTGAGAGGCAACGAGGCAGGTGGCGAAGCGATTTGTAGAAGGAGGTTGCCAGGGATCAAGAGACTCAGGCTTTGAAGTAGGTAAATGGTTAGGATTTAGAAGCTCGGCTTTGATCGGTTTTGGTAATTGAAGTCATCATTTGGGACTACTTTCAGAATTCATTCCTTGAGTAGAAGTAGGCAGTCCGAATGTACGGGATATACTGAATTAGATAAAACGATGCAGAAGACAAAGCTCTGAAATAGTGGCGGCAAAACCTGAGAAAGTTATAGGTATGTAATATTATTATGCTTTCAGTTGATGGATGATTTATTTAAGTAAAGGTATGATTCGGCGTAATGAAAGAAATATTGAAATACAAAGCTAATTTTAAGGCAGCCAGCATCCCATTTTTTACATACCGGACCTATCGCATAATAAGTATAACAATTTTGGATTAAACAAAAAAGAGCGGATACCTACTTATAGACGTGTAGCGAAAAAAGTTAGTTTGTTGAGGCGAAGAAAAAAAGATAAGAGAAACGCGCAGAACATTTTTATAACACGAAGCGCTTTGCGTTGACGTTTAAGAAATGGCTAATAATTTTCAGCCTGTTTTTGGATTATAATCTGCAGCTAATATTGGACGTGGGACTGGTAAAAAAGTCGTTACTCGGCGGATATTGCGGAGTTAAACCAACGGCCGAATTCCCCTCTAAATTAGAGTTTTTGCCCGCGAGGTGCGTTTGTCAAGAACTCAAGACAAGCCCGCGATCGTTATCTGAGACCCCAGTCCTTATGTCGTCGCGTATTGCCCAGTGCCCTCGACAGAATTAATGACTTAGAAAATTCTATATGACCAAAACGTTTTTTAGCGGCGGCAAAAATTGAGAAATTTTATTTGAATGAAGTTATTAATGAACGTTCTTGGAGGTCCCATTCTGTTGCATTTTATTGTGTTGGTTTTATGGTAGGTTGTTTAGTATTTTAGTAGAAAATGAAAGAATGCAACTTTTATTAAATTGCATATTAATACGTAGGAGGGGCGGGCCTTCGTTTGACGAAAGCAAAATATATTAGAAAATTTATACACTGCTGCCTGATTAGCATGATAGCTAGCCAGGTAGGCATTGTATATAAATAGCTATGAAACATACCTACCTAAGCCCGGAGTATAATCTAGCCTTATCCAGTTTTTACAATTTTACAGGAAGGTGAAGTCGATAAATGATGCGGGCTTGTCTAGAAGATGCCTATTTACTTTTGCTTTGAAGATTTTAATGCTGTCGCGTAGTAGGTAATAGATATAATAGATGCAGTGCACGGAAACATTGTTTTTATGCCCGTCTAATCTAAATGATTCGTGAAAATTTTAGCGCATACTTCTGTTGTGAAGGGGCTGTAACAGGTCAAGCAATGACATTTTATGCTCAGTCTTTAGTTCTGCTTAGCCAGTTCAGCCTAGTATCGGAGCTGTCCTAAGTGGTGGTGAGGATGGTTACTCTCCGCCTGTTGGCGCCCGTCAAGGGGAATATCTCGTGTTTCTCGGGGCATTTCCATGGCGTCCTCACCGCTGGTGGCAACGAATACTGAATATCATTGGATGGGGGCGAAGAGTAAGGGCCCTTTCCCATGGCAATCCAGTATTCCAGTTGTGCGGGATTCTGAATTACTGGATCCTGAAACTGGACTGTCGTGAGATCTAAATTCGAACGATTTTTTGGGTGACACTGCAAACGGGATTCGTGTGAATGTTATATTAATAAAACACGCATAATATTATTAAACGGAATCTTACAAAACACAGTTCCTGCAAAAAACGGTATGTTTCATTGGGAAAAAGTCCTAAGTATGTGCTACTAATAGCGGAAAGAGAACTCGCGGATGGTTTACGGCGAAGTGTCATCATCACTTCTCAATGGTTTGGAACAGCCACTTCCAGAAACACGATTCTGACGGTTGTTATGAGGACTCATGAAGATAACATTTGAGTCGAAAATATAGCGATAAAAATCTTTTAGAAGCGTTCAAAACGTAAAAACCAGAAATAAAAACGTTGTTGGTAGAGTCGCGATTTTATGTCTGATTATAACAGGGATTCATATATTGTGATTGCATGCACGAATTAACTTTTAAAACAACGTTGTAAAGTAAGATGGAAGATCTTTAACTTTCAGAATGTGATTAATTACGTAGCTTGATTAACGGTATACTTAACTTTAATTAACAGTTTTTACTATCCGACTGAAGCGCGTAGAGCGCCACGCAGTGATTCTGCCAATATCTGCCGGGCTAGGATGCGCGCCGTGATAAAGTCTTATTGATGATTTTAGACGACAAACGTATGGGCTTATCGAGTAAAATTGATAAAATGGCGCGATAAAAGCTTGTCGCGGCGCGCTCAGGTGTAGTTTTTCTTTGTTATGTAGAGAGAGATGAAATGCCATGTCATGGTGGCCATATCCTGTTGAATTTCAAGGAATAAAGTTGACGATGAAAGACATAACATAACTGTCCATTGCCTTATTTCGGCTATTTTAAGGCCAAACGATTTTAAAGCACCGAACGTATTTAGGAAGTATGCTCGAATAATTTACTGACGAAACTGCGGCGGGTAAACCAGTTTGGTGCGCCGGCGCAGCGAGGCTGGCGGTGTTCCGTGATATTTAAGAACATACCTACCTGGTAGTGTAAACTTACACCCGAACGCTAAAGGCTCCTCCGGTCGAGGCCAGGCAGCAAATGTC